ATAAACATCCCAATAACAGATATGCAACAACCAGTTTTTTTTCTCTAATCAATATGTCATGAATGAATTACAGGAAATCAAACTCTATGGAATGCAAAAGTGAGAAAATAGCATGAAAGTGGAGCTTCTATGACCATAATCATAGTAATTACTAGGGTATCTTAAAACAAATTTCACCACAAATTAACCATGCATCATTAAGTGCAGTAAAGTATATCAACAAGCCTAAGTGCAGTAAAGCATATCAACAAGCCTAAGAGCTCAACCAGACATGTTTTAGGAACTACAGAGAATCAGATCAACTAATTGGATGTAAAGCAAGCAACTCCTAGAATCAGCTATTCAGACAGGCTACAAACTCAATCAAAAAACCATAAATCTTAAAATTAAGCATGAAGTACCAATCTCAAAACTGCTGAGTGACAAGAAAATCTGGAGTGAACAATAGGCATAATAAAAGAACATTGTCCTAACAAATACTAAGCATTCAATCTTGATGAAAATGCAAAAAGTAATGAGAAGTTACTTCCACATGAACAAGTAAACAATGTCTAAGGAAGCAGCTCCAAAAAGGATTAACCAAGACATAAATGCAGATCCTCCAATCTGCTTTCAAGTGGTCTTTATTATCTGGCCGGGGGTGTAATTGTGACATTAGACTAATCTGGGCCTATTTATGCATTGACAGTGTGAATGAGCTCGAGCCTGTTCAATTGGGACACACTGTGTAAGTGCCCTTGCAATGGAGGAAAATATAAATTGGCTCCACCAACTACCTATACCTCTGTGCATGGATTCATGAAACGGTAAGTATTTCAATCAAGTGCCCATTACAGAACTCCATGGATCAAATTTAGGACCACTGCACTCCGTATGTTTTTATTTTCCAGTTTACATTCATTATAGATAGTTTAGAAGAGCATCTACCACAAGTTAATAATATCGTGTTTATATACACGTCACCAGATAAATGTTGGTACATTTTAGAAAAGCATTTCATCATCCTATTATTAAAAGAACATTTCCTTAAATTAGTTAATTTGTGCACTTGCTTGTGATTCCTGGTTCACCTAGGATTAATAGAACACTCATGCAATACTGTGAAATTCATAGCCACCCCACCCCCCCACCGCAGAAAAAAAAAAAAAAAACTTTTCCATTATTATTAGCCTCAGATATTTGTTTTAAACACATCTGAACATCTGCGTGCCGATGTTCTGCCAGCTCCATACATGATGTGCAAGAAAATTTAAATATACAAGCATGTATATGTTTCAGCAACATTAATTTTCACCAATGCTTTTACAATTAGCATGTTACACCTTGGTCAAGGTTCAGGAAAATGTCCTGAGGCTCTCAACCTAGAGACTTTTAGCTGAAAGTATAATGCACATATTCACATCTTGAGATGTCCAATTCTAAGGGCATACTCATAGATTTTTTAATAAGATTCTCATTACAAGACTGAGTAAAAGATCAATGGTGAGTTTCAATTGTTAGTGAATGCAAGTTATTTAGATTACACTTCCTTTATTCCATGTGACATATTTAGGCTTTTTGAAACAATGTTCAAGTTTCATTATAAATTAAGGGTTTTATCAATATGCAATAAAGTGTTTCCAAGAATGCAACTGTTTGTTGGAATTGAAATATCTCTTGAATATGTAAATAAACAAAAAAAAAGTGCATGGCTGTATGCCTCTTTGTTGCAACTGTCATAGATTCTGTCTGTATGCTTGTTTTTGGAGCAAAGTCTGTCATCATTAATTAATAGAAATTTTACCATCTTTCAAAAAAATGTAAATAAACAAAAAAAAAACAATCTTAAATGAAGCACCGCCATGCATCTTAAATTTAGGCAATGTTTGGACGGACTTTGCATATGTATTTTTAAAATCCAAAAGTAAAATTTTTGCCTTTTTTGGTAATAAAATAAAATTTATTAAAAGGAAAAGAAATTGATACGCAGAAGGTGACCAGAGGTCACCAAAAAGAAAAAGAAAAGAAAAATCTCCAGACCCCACCTAATCCTTCCTGGCAAAAAACAATCAACCCGGAAAAGATTTGAAATGTGTATTTTACTTTATAATTTATAGTAATATAAATGATTTTGGGCTTGTAATTTGTAATTTATACTATATAAATGATTTGACAAATTGTATTGTCATAGCATGTTTTTCAAAACACTAGTATGATAAAGGCATTAGTTCAATGTAGATGTTTTGTTACTTTCAGTCATGCATCACCCATTAAAACAATGAGAAGAGCTGTCATACAGCATCTTACTAACAAATGACATTGACAATAGTAAAAGATGCCACATGTCATTCTCTAAATATGCCATGTGTGATCTAATGCATAAGATATCCATGTCTTACCCATTAAAAGAACTAAAAAAGATGTCATGTGGTATCTAACTAACAAATGATATAAATATAATGAAGGATGACATGTGGCACTATTTGAGTATGCCATGTGGCATCTTCTTGAAAATGGCATTCTCTGGGTATGCCATGTCGCACTCTCTATGTTTGCCATGTGGCATTAACAAATGCAAGAAATATCTGCATTCCCTGCATCTTACCAATAATAGCAGAAGATGGTATGTTGCATTTTATTGACTGATGACACCAATAGTAATAGAAGATTACATAGAATTCTCTAAGTATATCACAGGGTACTAATTTATGCATGAAACATCCATGTGCATTGTGCACCATTAAAACAATAAAGAACATTCACGCCTTCCCACCTTAAGGGAAGTAAAGCACAAAAGCTAAGAAATCTGGCTTCATGCTTTTATACTTTTAGTACTTTTGCCTTTGAAGCTTTAAGTTTAAGCCTTTGAAAACAGCATCATCTAAATACCAAAATGCACCTTATATCCTTTTTTACTGGTATACTTTATACCCATTTTTGCTTCCAGAATCACAAAGGTACCATACAAAAGCCTATCCAAAAAGCACCTTATCTGCTTATATGGTAATTGTTTCGTTTATACTTTTATTCAGATATGCAAATATAATCTGTTTTGTATACATCTTTGTACTTGTTCTCATTTTAATTCATTATTCTTTGAGAGAAGAATGAAATCAAAAGAGGGTTACACCTCAAGCATCTTAAAGTCATGGCACCTTGCCTCATGCCCTTGATTTTTAATACATTAATTCGCATAGGTTCAATGGTTCCATGGATTGTATCATTCAGAAAACCATACTATCCTCCAAGACATTGCATGCAATAACCTCGAATATGGATGTTTCAAAAAGGCATGGCCAATAAGAGAATACAAGGGCAAATGAGTTAATTAACTGATGCTGCATTCCTGATTCATGTTTTCAGCATCCCATAGAGAAGTGATTGGTGGGTTCCTCATCTTGGTCACATTCCTGGGAGAAATATCTGATAAGGCTCCACACAGGGTCAATGATTTTTTACTTCTACCCAGACTCCTGAGTCCAGTGTCCCTCTGATCTGTTCTGTCTCCTTTCTCCAAAGGACGCCCCCCCCCAACCCATTGTAAAATAAACCATCAATTCTCATATTCAAGGATTGAGAGATCTGACATCTGATATAAAAGGGTTCATCCACTCATTCTTCACATCAATTTCATAATCATACTTTCAGGATAACTATTAAAAAATTGAACACGCACATTTAAGACCATTTAACTGATCAAGTACTAGATTTTCCAACATTTTACTGATCAAGGTGATCTGTAAATGATTTTTTCAATATGTTGTAATATCCAACTTAAGTTTGTACAACAGAAAGAATGACTTTAGATTGCTTCAAATTGTGCCACGATATTTCCTAAATATTTGACAAGCATTAAACTGGCCAATTATCTTTTAAAAATAGAATCAAATTTACAGTTTGTTTACTTACAAAATTCAATAATTAAACACCTTTATTAGCCTCAATATTTTAGCTTAGGCTTCCAGTCTTTGTTCTTGTCAACTTAGAAAAAGCAATGGCTAAATTTCCTTATTAGCCATAGATTTATAGCATATATGCATATTCAATATTTTCAGCCAAAAGCTCCCTTTACTCCTTGTTTTCTTTTTTTTTTTTTTTTGATAAATGTACTCCTTGTTTACTTACAAAAGTAATGATTAAACATCTTCATAAAACTCTGCTATTACAGTCCAAAACCTCAACATTTGTTGGCCTAGTCTCCCCATTGGTGTTGTCAAGGCTTAAGATGATTAACTTTGATTAGCATGTCAGGTCCCCGAAACTATTCCCCATCGCATCCTTCTACTCTTCGACTGTTTTTCTTCTCAAGATAATTGAAACACAAAAAAATGTTGGATATGAAGGACTGAGTATAAAAATCCTTTTTTTTCCCTTTTCATTCTCTCTTTTCCCCCTTTATTTTGGCTAGTAACCCTACTATTATGTTCTTCATTTGGAATGCTAAGAGTGAGAATCCAGCTTTAACGTTGAGGAAGTAATTTGGAGAACCCACTTAGACAATGTAACAAAGAAAACTGGCTGCCAATTTGGGGGAAGAGGGTGATGACTCATGACTCATGAGTAAGTACAGCGGTAAAAGAAAAATGAAGATCAAAAAGAGAATAACAAAGGATTTTGTTAAAAGGAGCTAGGTTTCCACGGGGAGTATCAAATCTAAAATTTTTGTCTGAAAAGATTCAAAAACTATATGAGAAGCGCAGAGAGATAAGATTAGAACGGGAAATAGAAGAAAAAAAATAGCTGAAGGAAAGGTAGATATTAAAGAGCACCAGGAACGGACTGCTTAGACTTTAGACTAAAATCCACAGAATTTCGTATTTGGATATTTTATCATTTTATTGGTAAAAAAGAAAATATTTTTTTTCACGGAACGCCTAGGAATATAAATTAAATTCTTTTTGCAACAATGAGAACTGAATCGAACAAAGTCAAAGTAGAATGAATCCAAAAACTAAAACACATTAAAGTGTCTCTCCTTGTTGGCGAAATAAACATTTTTGATGAAGATAACGCAATTTTACCTGACAAAGGTTTACATCAGGAGCCCAAGATACCCTTTTTGATTTCTGCGATCCCCGCATATTAATAGACACAAAATCGCGCACTTCTTCCCGCTTCGATTTGTCAACAAATTACAGTAATCAAAGACGGTATTTTAAGATCGATACGATCGACGAGATTCAAAACCCTAATCTACTAGTCCGATTCAAACTGTTAACAATTTAAAGTGAATAATAACCTTACTTCCTTCACTGGTTCCGATCTTTCCTAAGGAGATGAAGTGAATGTAGGGAGGGATAAAGATATGGAACTCCAATGAAAGTAAGGTAGACAACAAGCCCTAGATGCGTCTGGTTTTCGCTTTCATCTTTTGTTTTTCTTCTTTTTCAATATTTTAATTGTTTTAATTAATTCATTTATCTATTTCGATAATTCGATTCCATGCTGTGATCTGTGGGTTCGACTATGATGCCGAAAAGACATGAGACCTAAAAAACTTATAACCAATCAAAGGCATGCTTATAACCAATCAACCGCCATCATTTCATGTAGGTTGTCATCAAAATGCAGGTTGGAGTTTGAGTTTCGATTCCATGATTCCATCCTGAAAGCTAGGCTGAATCAGCCCGAACCAACCAAAAAGAGTTAAATTGGGTTAGGTTTAAGTTTGGGTTATAGTAGTTAGTAGGGTTGAAAAATACGAATGCACTTCGGTAAGGATAAAGGCAAACTTCACTCGGATCCAAAGACAGTCCATGCTTATATGGGATTTATTAAGGAAAAGTGAAACAATGGATATTGATAATTATATTAATAATTTTAATTTGTTATAAAAATAATTTAACAATTTAGATTAACTATATTAATAATTTTTAACAAAAATAATAAATTACTGCTAATTATTTTTTATATTATTTGTTAGTGTTTTATTTTATTAATCATTAAATGTTATAATTAAATTAATCTATTAGATTAACTTTTTTAGTCATAATTAAATTAATCTAAGTCCCAAGTTCAAGGTTTATGACTATGAAACAAATCATCGTCCCCATCTCTGTCTTCATTCTCGATTGGATATTATTATCAATCCCCACCCTTACCAAGGCAATATCCATCATCATCCCCATCGGGTCAAGGAAGCTGAGTACCCACCCGATAGGATGGGGAACATTGCCATCCTATTTGCATTCTAATCTTATTAATTGGTTAATTGTCATAGAACTGTATTTTGATCTTAATAAATAAAATTAGATTTTAGCAAATTTTTAACTAACAACTATTAAAAATTAAGAAATTAATAAAAATTAGTTGTTAATAAAATAATAATAAAAAGAAAAATTATTAAAATAATAAAATAAACCACTTGCATTCCATATAAAAACTATAAAATTTAATTAAAATATTAAAACTAATAATGACTTAATTATAAATGTCTTAAGACTCCTACTTAGGGATGATCATTTATAACTTAGCCTAAAATCCCGACTAAACCAACAAATTTTCGGGCTCAAGCAACTAATTTCTTTTGAGCTAAGTCTAGCTCAGATCTATACCAACCCCACATGATGTAGACAATAAGATTGTAAATGGTTTGGATTCAAATCAAAACCAAATTGCATCTTCATGTACATTTAATTATGAAATCTAGCCGCCAAAAGTCAATGTGTCGAAGAATGCGAGAAGCCCAAAATGGGTGATTTTTGGGAAGCTCTAAATGGAGCTTTTGCATTTTTTTCTATTTGTATTTGCACAGAAAGACGTGCCTTAACCAAACGGGCTTCAGGCTACTCAAATCTTAATGCAAAAGCTCAATGCGTCTTTTGACTGTTAGAGCTACCAAAATATCTTCCCAAAAAGACTTGCCAAACGGCCCCTATGTTGGGTTTTGGATCATATTCGCATTTAATCTACAACTATCTTATTGTGTTTAAAATGACAAAAAAAAGTTTTGAAAAACCAATTATTTTAAAAGTATATATGTATAATAAATGTATATAAATATAAAATATTAAAGTTATCAATTATAAACGTTATATAGTTATACATAATATATATGTATGCATAATTATTGGAGTGCGGTTGCTGTTGTTTGGTTCATTTGGAGTTGAAATTCGAATCAATTAACAATTTAATTATTAATATTAATATTTTTATTTTATTATTTATTTATTACTTAGTAGTAATATTATTACAACTAAAATTATTTTTTCTATCCAAAAATACATTGTATTAATATTTTATTTATATATTATTATTGTTAAATTTAATAATTAATATTTTTTTTGCTATTATTATTTTAGTAACCTTTTATTATAGTACTATTATTTTATTATTATCTTATTATTAATTTAATAATATTTTATTACTTTATTAATATTAGGGTTTTGGGGGTTCTGTATCATGAGTTCTTTAGTCCTTAAGGGGGTATTTAAAATATCTCTTAATTGTCTCTCTTTTGTAATATAATCTCTCTCTCTCTCTTTAATAATATAATATATTATATTGGTAATAGCATGTTACTTTAAATATTAATGATATATAGCTTTGTTAGTGACAATTATTATTATTTTATATTTTTTAAAACAAAAGGAAATAAGAAGAATACAAAAAAGAAGAAAATAGATAAATATCTATGCTTATTTTTATAAATACAAATATAATTATTAGTTTATATTTTTAATAAATGGTTATTTTATTACTTTTTATTATTAATTTTAATTGTCCTATTAATATTAATTATACTAATTTTTATAAATAGTCATCCTTAAGTACAAATTAATTCTAATTTTATTAATTTCTTAACTTTTAATAGTTGCTAGATAAAAAAGCTTGCTAAATTTTAATATTTGTATTAACTTATGTAAATATTATTAGTTATTTCAATATATATAATTTATTTTTATTAATATGACTATTACTATTATTATTATTATTATTATTATTATTATTATTATTATTATTATTATTATTATCATTGTATGTCATGTATCACACCTTACGGCTAACCGTTTTCAGAAATAGGTCAACATAGACCCGTTTAACTTTATATCATTTTAGTGGATCTTCTACTTTATATAAGTCTCTTGTGTAGTTTGGGCACTATGCACAATAAATGTCTCAACTCATAAAAATTATTAATTAATTAATTAAAAATATATTAATACAAAGTTATCTAATAAAATAAAAAAGAATGCAAGTTCTATTTGCAATATATCAAACCCATATTTAAATTATAATATTATTAAAACTATCAATTAATATTTTTCTGTATTTAAAATTTTTATTTTTATCAGTGTTTATTAAGTTTGATTTTAAGTGGAATTGAAATGTTTTTAATTTTATTAGTTGAATTTTATTTAAATTTCCTATTACTAAGTTTGACTTTTACAGTGTTTTCAATTTTTAACAAGTTTTGTTAATATATATTAGTTTTAAGTGAAGTTTAGTGAATGATATTTTTCATTTTTGTTGTTTTACGTTTGATTGTTTCACCTCAACCTATTTATATTATTTGACTTATTAATATTTTGCTTTATTATATTGTATTTCTCTTTCTCTTTCTCTCTTAAATGTCTTTTTTAAATATAATAATAACATGCATTAAATAAGGGGGCTTTTTATAGTTCAGTCCACCTCTAGGGTGGAGCTAAGATTTCTACGGGTGGACTGAATCCTACCCATGGATTGATGCCAAATTCACGCGTATGATGCAGTTTATAGGGGGGCTACTAGTAGACTAGGAAGGGGTTGCAATTTCAGATTTTTGAGATGGATTGCAATCCACTTATCCCTAAAATAAGAGGCCTTAGAAAATCCAAAGGTACCTCTCTAATAGTGTGCAACTTTATTAGTCTAATCAAAATAGGTAATGATTACCTTTTTATATTTTTAAAACAAAAGAAAATGGGAAAATACAAAAAATGGAGAAAATAGATTAATAACTTCTCTCAAATGAGAGACTTGCTGACATGGACTGTCCAATTTTATTATATATAGAAATATTAGCGGGGACCTGTGTGATGCATGGGAAAACCCAATTTCTAACTTGCTGGTAAAAAGGATCAAAAGGATATAGTAAATGCCATCCATATGCATAATCAATTATTAATTTTCAAGAATCATATATTGATTGAATAATCAATAAATTTTCCATAATTTCACAAAATTAAACTATAATATATTTTATTTTCAAATAAAATTGATCAATAATTATCTAAAATTGTAATTATAATTTTTAGAAATGTAATAATTACCAACAATCAATTACTAAAATTTTTAGAAAATATTGATAATAATTTATTAATAAATATTAATAGTAATTTATTAATAAATTAATTATTTGTAGTTATTTTCAGATATTACTATTATTTTTGTTATAAATTTAAATAACTATTCATGATTAATTATTATAAATAATAAATTATTAATAATAGTAATGCTTTAATTATACTATATTAATTAATGCCTTGCTAATTATTGTATTAATTATACATTACAATTATTGAAAATTACTATCATTATACTTATCTTATATCTACAATATACTTAAACCATTTAGGGGGTGTACAGTCGCCCCCCAAATGCTCGACACGTGTAGATCTAGCAGGCAGCTAAGAGGTTTCCAAATGCATGTAGAATCACGCATGAGCCTTTTCTTCTGGAGGCTCCAAAGGCTACCGTCAACTTGGAGCAGGAGGTTGTTTCCATTGACATTATCTATTATATACTTAAAGCATTTGGGGGGTGTACAGTCGCCCCCCAAATGCTCGATACGTGTAGATCTGGCAAGCAGCTAAGAGGTTTTCAAATGCGTGTAGAATCACGCATGAGCCTTTTCTTCTAGAGGCTCCAAAGGCTATCGTCGACTTGGAGTAGGAGGTTGTTTCCATTGACATTATCTATTATCTACTATATACTTAAAGCATTTGGGGGTGTATGGTTGCCCCCAAATGCTCGACACATGTAGATCTGGCAAGCAGCTAAGAGGTTTCCAAATGCGTGTAGAATCATGCATGAGCCTTTTCTTTTGGAGGATCCAAAGGCTACCGTCGACTTGGAGCAGGAGGTTGTTTCCATTGACATGGCATCCATCACCTCAAAGTAGGCATCAGACAATCCAATGATCTTCTTGTTCACTACCAAATCTACAGGGTAAGGAACACAAAATCCCTCCCCTACTACAGTAAGAGGAGGAGGAGCAGGAACCCCATATACCTAGTGATGAGTTGCCATCAACCAACTTAACAAAAGTTCCTTCTGACACTCTCTCTTTCCCCTTTCTCTTTTGGCGGTTGCATGTAGATCTGGTAGGCAACGCCCTGTGCCACTAAGCCTACATATATGTAATGTCTCACACTCTTTCTCTGT